TAGTTGTGATGTACTACATCAACTATGCTCTATATCTTCTATGACAAGAACGTGCCCACACGTTTTATAAGGCCTAACAAGTTTTATCAACTTTTTAACAATACATCTCATTAACTTTTATCATCAAACTTTTTTAAAAATCTGATTTTTAGCTAAACTAGATAGAGGCTTTGTGTTTAACATATTAGGCCCCTTTTGGTACCAATTTTTAAAAACTCTTTTTCAATTACGTATTCTCATAATAAAATAAATTTTGAATGTGGACCTATAATGTTTTCCAATTATTTAAAAGGTAAATTACCTTGATTAACGTCATATAAAACGTTATGACCGTTAAACCTTCACGTGAGCTAACAGTTATTAAAGCAAAGCAAACAATTTCTTCCAACTATTTTGTGTGTTGCAACATTTTTACTGTTTTTAGTTTTCAAAGTTAGAGTTAAAAGGAGCAATTAACGCGAGAGGTTTTCTTCTTAAAATTGTATTTTATTTGAAGATGTGCCAATGTCAAGGTTTAACCATTTAACGGATTGGATAACAAAATTAGAGATTTTACTACAACATTGCGTCAGACTAATGCTGTTTTATTATTATTAAAATAAAGAAAGCTGATTGCAATTTGTGTATAAAATTATCGATTTACTTTATGTTACGTGCACTTGTTTAATAACAAACTCTCACCAATGGTATCAAATCAGCATCTCGTCGGATTTCCAACCTATTTATTTTACATACTTGTATCTTACCTTGACGTCATATTTCTTTGGGGGACGGGCCATTTAAATTCTCAACTTATAAGTTGTCAGATTCGCAATTTTTTTTTACATTTTTGTCCGCACACAAAATTTACGAGAAAGTCACTCATTCTCTAAACATGCACGTTGATACAATTCAATAAATTTTCATCTCTTAAATTTGACCGACACATTAAGAGCATGTTCGGTAGAGATTAAAATCGAATTAAAATTGAAAAATTAGTGTTGACTTTTATTATACGAGTGAGATCCAATAATAGCTATATTTTCAATTTTAATTGAATTTTAAGCCCTACCAAACATGCTCTAAATGTAATTCTGAATGACAAAATGCCTTCTGAATCTCGCCTCTTGAAAATCCTTGACAGCAAGCCCAAACCCGTTGCAAAAGATCATGAGTTAATCAAACACACACAAAAAAAGTATTTTAATATTATTTATGAATTACGAATTCTCAATTAACGCAAAGTCGAAGCTCGATTATTTAGATAAGAAGATTGCAGATAGGATAATAAACTAATGGGCGACGGACCGCATGAACTACTTTACCAGAAAGATTTGACAGAAAGCTTGACATAATTGCACGTAATAGTAAATGATTGAATGGAAAATTTGACTATACTTTAAACTGTCAAATGATAGACTGTCACGTGACATTATGTCAAGTTTTGTGTCAACCTCGATATTCATGTAACGTGATTCAGCTAAGCAATCAAAGATCCCCCAAGGCATGCATTTGATATTTGCATTATCAGATTGGGATACACAAACCAGATTCTTTGACAAATGGTAACCAGTACCGGTAATTCTTTTGTGATCTATACTTCAAAATCTTCTACATCTAAATGGCTTACTGGGGATTGATAAGAGTCTAATGCAAAAACACAATTTATGTTATGTACTGTATACAAGGCTTGAATGAGTACACTTGTATGGTACAGGAGAAAAGCCTCGGTTGTCCAATGCTATTCAACTGAGGATGCTCTCAAGTTCTTCGGATGTTTCCCCAACACGTCAAATAAGAGAACCCGTTGCATCTCTTTTGCTGGACCAGAGAAAAATGAAGTAATGATTAAAATGATAGTGTCCGACAGACATAGCTAACCTCTAATACAAGGACAAGAAACGGTTCCAGAAAAGATGCAACACTACATAGCTGAGAGAACACTACTAAGCATATAGATGATTTAAAAGAGGAAATTTAAGAAAATATATAATCAACATATAATATGATCCAACAAAAGAGTGCAACTACAAAGTGAATGGTAACTATATATTTATGTAAATTTATGCATATGTAATGATAAACTTAAATAGTTTACAGCAGACCAGAAAGAATGTGCACAAAGCCTAAGTCATAATTAACCTTAAAATCACATAGGGGCGGAGCCAAAAATCAACGTTACGAGGGACAAAAAAATCTAAAAATTTAATATACGAATAAAATTCATATATAACAAAAAAAGTTGTAATATAACATTACATATTACAGTTGTACCTTTATATTTTTAGCAATTTGAAAAGAAAGATAACAAAGTTCTTTTTTCTTGGCAAGAGATCTATTTTCTTCCATATTAAAATCTAAAACTAAAAAACATAAAAACCAACACACTTCAATACGACAATATTTCATAAACATAAATTGATAAAACCATAATTATGAATTCATTCATATTGTAAAAGCTCAGAACTTAAAATCTTCCTTTGTACCCATCTATTGTAAGAAATTATAAATTCATAAATTCATTCATATCTAAATCATAAATTCATATCCCTCTATTTTTCTTTCCAAATTAAATTCATTCACATTGTAAGAAACTAGATTTGATCTCAATAGCCTACTCATCACGCATAGGTTGCAAATGAAATATGTTCCTTGCCTACATTTTTTTATTGCCAAAAAGAAATGGAAACCTAAAATTATTATAACTATATTAGGCAATGATGAGTTTCCGTGACAATGTAAAAAAAAAAAAATCTACAAAAGGACATCTTTCATAAGGGACGAGGAAGAACAACATTTAAAATGGAAGTTTCACAAAGCAGAAACATTCATACATACAGTTCATTCGCAAAATTTGTTCACGTGTATATTTTGTCAATAGTTGTGATTAGCGGTTGACCATCGACGGTTGGCAATCGATAGCTCTGATGGATGGGTGGACCATGGATAGGAAAATTTGGGAATTTCAATTTGGTTTTCAAAAATTTCAAATGACACCTAAGGGTTGAAATTTGAAAAAAGAAGAAGGAATCAAATGAACTTGGGATGGATTTGGACTAAAATTAAACAAAGTTAGTTTTAAAAATTGGGGGCCAAAAATTAAAACAAAAAACAAATAGTTTTAAGAATTGGGTTGGGCTTGCCAAGTGATATTAATTGTTGATGGGGCTATACACTAAAATTAAAACAAATTTCCATTAATTTGTACTATTTTTATTGGACCTGGAGTTCGGGGGCAGTGGGCAGCTAAGCGAAGCCTACTGCCAAATTCGCCTCCTGAAATCATAGATAATTAACAATATTATTTAACACGAGAAACAATTAGGCCGCTTTTGGTTTAACTAAAAAATTAGATCGAAATCTAGTCAAACTCAACAATTAATTTAACTAACATTTCATAGGACCTACAACTTTTCAATCTCATATTCCATCAACTTGTATTAAAATCTACTAAATATATATATTTTTTCTGAACTAAACAAGAGCTAGTAATAATTTACCAATCCTCATTAATATAAAAACGATGAGTCTATTGCCACCCATAATGTGGAAACAAAGGGATGAGCAAAAAACAAAAGAGCTACATTTAATGAGCTGATGATCCAACCTCCACTCCCACCAAAATAGTAAACAGATTTTGCCAGATGCATGATCTCTTAGTATTGCGTTTGTTTTAGCATTAAGTTGTTTGTAGCTGCTAATGCTCCCAGCCTCGAAGGCGAACATGATAGGAGCGCATTAGGTGCAACGAAGTAGATCTACCATATCATGTTAGCTGATTGCAAGATGAGCTAGTAATATCACATAAGGGCGGATAGACCATCCACCTAGTTCTAGTACTCACTTCTACTAAGGCTGAGCTTAATAGAAGCAATAGACTTGGTAGCAACAGCCATAATGAAATATTATTTGGCCCCTACTAAAGATAGGTCGCCAAACTACGATGAGAGTTTCGCCTTTTGAAGGGCTAGTCGCGTAGGGCGATCGGGCCAAGCCGAGTCAGAAAGGCTTTGATGATTCGACGTTTATATTAGAGAAAGGAGAGTGAGGTGAACTCACTTTTTCACCGATATCATAATGTCAAATCAAAGGAAAAGATCGTATTCGCACGCTCGGTGCCTTAAGTTAATGCCCATCCAAAAAGGGTTATGAATAATAAAGGGCAATTCAATTACTTAAAGAAGCTTTTGGGCCACTCATTTATAGATTCATTGCTATGGGAACACCATTTAGTTGACTTATGCATGTTTGAACAGCCTTATTAATCTTTCTTTCTTTGGAGTTTTTAGGCTGCTCCCAATAATGGGGGATTGGCTTTCTTACTTTTTCTGATTAGTTATTTACAAATCTTGATTATCCTCTTCCTCACCTTACATAGCAACCAGATGACCAATAATGCCCACCAATTCAGCATAAAAAACAACTCAATTCAATGGATATACAAAGTACCTTGTCATGTGCCTTGATCTGGCTACTCAGAGCCTTGTGATTGTGATGATGTTAGAGACTAATGAGAACACTCAAAGTCTCAGGAAAATGATATTTCACATTTTTAATTAATATTTATTAATGAATGGCAGACAATGAGAAGTTCCAAAGGATTTACGGCTTGTGTCTGAAATCAATATAACCTTCCTTCAAGAGTTTGATATATTTGCTAATTCTAACTCCCCAACCATAAATCTATGATATGAATGGGACTCATGATGAATGTCAAAAAGAATCTTTGAAATGACATTAACAGGCATAGAGACCAGTAAAATTGACCAGCTCCCAACCCATATACAGTACTTGTAATTTTACAGATGGAATAGCTCCATCAGAAGCTCCAAGCTAATGAATCTCTGAAGGAAAGGGGCAAACTCAAAAAACTATCGTCACTTCTTGTTTATGCTCACATTATTTCAGTACACTATCTTATTATGCTTTACAAAGGAAATCATCTACTCACAGTTTTCCGGACTCTTCTAGAATAAGTGTATCGTGTCAGAGGCTTATCAGATTCTAACAATAACGTACTATGCCAGGTTCTTGTTTCTTTCTTTATTTATTTTTTTTCCCATATAAGTGGTAGTGCTCTGCTAAACTTTCCTCGGACGCTCAAACACGAAGTGAAGAATATCCTCGTTGGCAAAGCAATTGTGGAAGTACTTTAGAGAAAAGAAAATGAAAAAAAATTATGCCCACATAACTTGCTTTCTTGTTCATTTTTTCTTCTTTCAATCATTCAATAAAGCAAGGGACTTAACACTATCAATCATACGTTAGCGCAATGAGATGAACTCTCATTGTATGTTTTATTACACAAACACTAGAAACGTTCTAGATGACTCTGCAGTGTTTCCAGGAGTCGACTTTTGAAGAGACCCAGAAACCAATCCAAGCCATAGTTAATATCCACATTTAAGGAAAAAGTTAAATGATTACTTAACAAGCAATAATTTAGCATCAAAGCACAAAAAATTATGAAACATTTTCCCAGATATATATAGGACGGCATACAATAAATGCTCTTAAAATATGGAATGACTGTATGCATGACAGAATCTATTGCTTCATTTAAAATTGACACAAAAATAAACATTCAAGAAAAGCAACTGTGGGTGTGGAGGCTGCTTGTTACCTTCCTCCAAGGAAAGCAGAATTGACCTTTTCTCCAGCTCAACAGCATGCTTGCTAAGCTCAACTGAAGAAAGCGATCGAAGTACTGTTCAATTTAAATGAGAAAATCAGTTATCACATAAAAAGAGAAGTTCAAAAGGCTGCTTTATTAGAACAAAAAATCATACTTTGAACATAATCATCTTGATCTGATTGATCCAACATTTTTAATAAATTCTGCAATTGGCAATACCGCTCTTTCCAGTGCTTAAAATTCACTTTCTTTGGAAACAAAGAGTTGGCAGAATTAACACCAACATAACTAATATTTGTTGGAGATGAGACATTATTGGACTTTCCACGAGGAGAAACACAATGTTTCGCAGACAAGCCTGATGCAGAAACCGTCTGAACTGATATAGAATTTGAGATACAGGTTGCAGGCTCCTTTATCTCGGCATTTTGTCGAGTTGTTTCACCCTGGTCATTAGATTTCCTTCCATGTGGACAGTCAACAGCATCACTTTGGTTGCCACAAAAACTTGTTTTACCTAATTCAGTTTCAGCTTTTCTGCGAAAATAGACGATATGGCCATTCCCAGAAGTACTTTTGGGAGATTGGTGATCAGAAGGTGATGGCAAACACTCGGGCATGAGTTTTCCGGTGTCAGAAATCTCAGCATGTTTACCAGTAGGTCGGATCTCCTTTGTAAATCCAGGGTCTCCAATGGATTTTGACTCCACCATTGTATTATAATTCTGTGGACCCAACAACGATTTTCTTTGCAGCTACTGGCACTGAAAGTTGCTAATCAAAATTGAGCAAACAAATTTCAATATAATAAATTCATACTCTAAACATAGAATCTTTTGGGTTGAACGACCTGGAATTACTCATTCTTAAAGAGTAAATCTGAGCTGGAAATATACTTTCTAATATCAATACAAAAGTTTCCATGAAGGTGGAAATTCCATAAAAGATGAAAGTTTAACCATGTTACTGTTCATCTAAGTAGGTTTCTTAAATGTTCAGGTTGTTTAAATTGGATTTTTTTTATCTCGTCTCTATGTGCATTGCCAGGGTATCAACCAAGAGAGTGATGAAGTTATTTGGCAAGTTTCAAAACAATAACTTTGGCAATGTTCCCAATACCAAGTTTCAGGGATGGATATAAGAAGGTTGCACTAAGTTGACAGCCAACCTACAATGTTATTGCATCTATGACCTAAATCCTTCATATGATATCATTTCCTTAGGCAGTCAATACCAGTGACGAACTTCATCAAACGCTGAGTGTAGTGAAGACTTGGCAAGTATCAGATAGGGCATACGCATTGAGTGACACAACACACAGTACCTGGATACACCAAGAGCTAATCTTGGGATGGTAAAAAACGTAAATTTAGGAAATAGATTTTCAGTAGGAACTTGGAATACAGGGATCTTAAAGAATCCAAGAAATAAAAGATCTGAGGCGTAGAATAAGGTCAACATACCTTACATACAAGATGTTGAATAGGTAAGAAAGAAGGAAAAAATTGGGTATACAACTATAAACTTCAGTATACTTTTTTTAGGTATAAACTTCAGTATACATGCATGGAGAAAAGCAAAAATGGGGGGATAATGTAAATCGAGATATGAAAGAGTATATATAATACCCTGAGGAGTGGAGTAACACTAATTTGGATTTTAGGATGATTTATGATTTTGTGCTTTATTGAATACGTGCTTCAACATGAAAGACTCTCACAAAATTTTAGAAGTGAGCAAAGTTCCTTTACAAGGATTTAGAGCTTGAATGGGATAGCTTTTCTTTTGCTTTTTACGAAAGAGCTTCATGAAAAAGCCATCTTGACTAAAAGCTCTTCTAAACAAAAAAAAAAAATACTAAACAGGTCAAAAGCAACTTCTTAGTTTTAGAAGTAGCTTTTAACTTCTCAAAAGCTCTCCTTAATCCTTTGTTGAAGATGAATGTTTTGTTGAGCAGGGAATGTAAAGTTTATGCCTCGTGAGAGCCAACAGCCATCATAGCCTATGTTGGTTAATGTGGCTACCTAGAAATGAAAAGGTAGCACAAAAGGTTTGAGTCTATAAAAAGTAAATAGTGAACCAGTAAGATCAATACAAGTCACTTTCAAGGATAAATTTGTGAAGAAAGGAAGGGGAGATTTAAATGGAATCAAAAAGGTAATTCAGTAGTCCTAGGAAGGAACTTATGAGAAGTTAAATGATTATCTTGGAACTAAGATTACAAGATATATAGTGGAAGGGAAAAGAAAGTAGAGATAAAACCTAGTTAAATAAATGTACTGAGGATAGAAACTAACACGTAATATTTCGCTGTTATTTCAAGAAATTATTCAATAGAACACAGAGTAGATCTTGGGAAACGGTCAAACTTTATTGAAGATAAAAAAAGTTAACTACACTAAAAGCATCTGGATTTCAAAATTGAAGATTCTGGAGCGATTTCATAAAGATGAGAAAAATAATTAGTTCGGATTAACCCCTCTTATAGTCTGGAAGTGTTTATGCACGGTAGGTACTTATATTTGACAAATTGTTTTAATGGGATCTTGACAAGTACAAGGTGTTTGATGAGTGCAGGAAAATTGTTATAGTGCTTAGTTTACAAAATAAATAAGGTGATATTCATAAGTTTATAGTTCATATATACGTATTGAACTTGTAAGCCCAGCTTCTCATATAAGCAGTTTGGCTACGCCATAAGGTTTGATTCGACTGGTCATATCAACTGACAGTGTTGGTCGAATAGAGAGGGGACAAAAGGACTCATGTAACCAATTTCAAGTTTATTTAGAATAATGTGCAGTTTGTTGTTGCTGTTGTAATTGAATTCAGCAGATAATCGTGTAAGGCACCATTTTGATGTAATGAAAAGGGATCAATATAGCATAAATAGCAGGGTAAGGCAAGCATGCACTTCCTTGTACATAAAGAAAGAGCTTGTGTGATTCCTTGCTAACAGCAATGGAGAATGAAGTTGTGCGTACATTAATTTCTTGAAAAGCTCAAAATTGGACTTGGTTAACAAAATGCACTCACACAAAATTGCAGGATCTAATATTTCCAATTCCAAGCAGCACTCTATATTTTGATTAACTGTCCCCTACATTTATATCATTGACTTGTACACTGTATGATTTACACATGCATTTTCTTGAACTCAATTTTAAAAACTTCCCCATCCCAGCAACAAACCCTCCCAAACTTTAGCATATCAATGACTCCAAAAATGTTCAACATTTAGTTTGAGAGTCAGTAAAAACGTTTTTTTCTCCCAATGCATATCTATATGGATCTTCAAGGTAACTTAAAAACGCAATTTATGCATGATGGATGCCATATATAGACACAGCATGGGTTGGTTTGACAAATGAGCGTCACAGCCTAATATCAAACGTCATATCGGAAACTTTGTGCTTAGTTATTAGTAACCAGAAGATGATTTGAGAGACTTAAAAGAGAAATAACTGATTGAGTAATAACAACCCTAAGGAGAATAGCGATAGATCTTGATTGATCAGTAAAGCAGTGGAAAGTGAAACATAATTGAATCAATCTAGATCACTTTGATGTGTGATGAAATACACTTATCTGGGACGTTAAATGAGATTAATTGTAATAAATTTTGATGACTTATGACTTAATTAGATGTTAATTTTGTTTGTTAGGTAAAAATTAAGGCAGATTGATGGAATTGGAAGAAATGAATGAAAAAGGTTAAAACGAAAAAAATCAAAAGTTTGGGAACCAAAGTGTACATTCAATAGTTGATTCGGACCATAAAATGATGATTGAAGATCATATATGATCAATTGGATGCAATAAGAGGTCAAATGAGTGAAATATTTTCACAAATCAATTTCCAACCAAAAAAGTTATGCTCTAGATTTTCAACCTCAAATTGAGACCCATTTTTCGGGTAGCAAACGTTCGAATTGGAATTTATATTTCTCAAAGAATTGTGGTCATTTGAGTTATCTTTCCAACGAACTTTTAATCACCTCAATCGAATATCGGGAGAGAAAGTTATGACTAAAATACCGAAAGCTGCTTAGGGACGAAGCGACGAAAATCGTGGTGTGCTCGCGAGTCATCAATTTCATGACCAGAGAACAATTCAGCATGCTTGCGCACATGCAGTAGCTATACCTGCGTGTGTGTCCAGCAAAATTCTTTGTTGACGAGCCAATTTCTTTTTTTGATTCAAACTCTTATTGGTAACAATTTTGAGACGATTTCTTGACCTAAATTTAACCTTTATAAATACAGAACTTGTGGGAAACATTGAGAGAACTCTCTCTACCTCTTAATATCATAAAATCCATCAAGAACAAGGGCTAGTTTCCATATTTTGAGAGAGAAGATCAAATTTTAGCAAGGAATTGAAGCCAATTATATCAAGATTTTGAAGAATTCAACCTTGAAATTGAAGAACAAGATTTCTTACATTCTTTCATTATCCGAATTATATTTTTCCATTATTCTTTTTGAAATTTATATAAAATTATGCTGGGCTAGATCCGTTTATGTATTGGATAAAGATGAACCCAATTGTTTATTTTAATTCTTAGACTAGTAGTTTAGTATTTCTTGCTTTTCTTGATTAATTTTGCATACTCATTATATTATTTTATTGCTTGATCATCAATTAAATAATTAATTGCTTGTTGTAGTGTTGCTCACAATAAATTTAGAATAAGGCAAAATAAACATATGTGCAATAGATGTTAAAGTAACATTTATCACATGTGCAATCATATAGATAATCTAAAATTTAGTGCATTCTAATTATTTGAATTTGAGTTAGGAATAGATTCGGGACGTGGTTAGGATAAATTTAATTTCTCTTGGAAAAGAAAATTATACCTTAGCCTTATCAATTGTGAAGAATGCATAAATATCACTAAATTACATAATTGAGAATTGAAATAGATAATAATAGTCGGATTCGAAATCCAATACAATAATCCACAATTTGATTAAAACCAAACTTTTACAACTTTCCTAGATTAATATAGCAAAAATCAAATCAAACTCTTTTTTGTTTTACATAATTCAAGTTCCATACAAAACTAGTACACTTGAATTGAATTTATTCTATGTGGGACGATACTCTCAAATCACTTAATTTATTACTTATCAACGATCCCGACCGTCTGCGAGTTTCACATAAACATGTGATCCAATGAAAAGAGTTTGTTTCAAGTTCATAAAGATAAATAGTTGAAAATATGGTTAGACGGCCACAATGACAAAGTTATGAATAGATTGAAACAATGTTTTGTGGCCTTAAATTAAGCCTGGGACTTGGAATTCATGGAAAATCAATTAGATCTGAAAGATGTCCTTAGTAAATCCCACATATAACCAATGCAGCTTCAGAGACAGCCATGGATTCACGCATAATATTTTCAACAGAAAAGTGCAATGTAGAATTTTTTTTTTTAGGTGAAAATGAATTTCCTAATAAGGTCCTATGACTGAAATATCTAAGAGAATTAGCATTTTTTATTGATACATGGTACAGTCGTCTACTGGGAATTCTGATCATCATGTATAAATTCCCGCGACTACATAATGGACACAAGAATCTGCAACATTTTGATTTTACTGCATTCAATTAATTAATCCTGTCACAACAAATCAGCCAAAACGTGAGAATGAAATTTCATAAAATTCCTTATTATCAAGTTTCATATTAATCTGAAAGCCCGAA